CCTGCCTGCTTCGTTCAGAGTGGCTAGATACTCTCCTCCCCAAAAGAGATTACCTTAAGGGCTGGAAGCGCGACGGCACTTTTATCAGGGTCCCTTCTGCGTGTGTGAGACACTGTGCTCCCGTCGTCCATCCAGGGAATGGTGTTTCTGACAGAAGGAGAGACACTGCTTCCTTACCGCTGACAGAGTGCATGTTCTAGCCAAAATTAAGTCTCACATTTAGACATAAAAGAAGCTATTTTTGGAGCTATTTTGCAAATAAGATTTTCTAGCTGTCTATTTGATGAAGCAGCTTATTCCAGATTTTGTAATTTGGTACTTCCAAAACAACTCTGCCATTTCGATTTTGCTCAGCTTTTGGGAAAAAAGGAACAGCATCCAGACTGGTGATCTTGAATAGCTTTTAATTTGTTACTAGTCAACGAATCTCACATACCACAATCAGGTGTCCAAGTCTGCTTCCTTCCATCAGCTTAGACTGTCATTTCCGTTTCTGATCAACAGTGACTCTTCTGTGAGTATACTGGACATGCTGTTTTCCGATTACTTTCTTTGTAGAAAAACATGCAGTGACCAAAGGGTAAGAGGTGAAGGGAAATAGTAGCAGAGAAAACACAGATACTTGGATGGATTCTGTGAATTAGTATACATAAAAGGGTGTTTCCTGTCCTTGGATATAATGTTAGGTACTTAACAACTTCATATTCATTTTTTTTTTTAGAGGAGTTCATTTAGCCATAGTGAAGAACAATATTTCCTATAAATAAAAGAATGGTTAATGTGCTTCCTTATGCAATTAATGTGAATGTGAGGGAGATTTGTTGATGACATTGAAAATGCATCCAAAAATGTACAGATAAAAATGGATTCAAGGGGACTATAGATTGATAGAATGTCATCCCCATATTATTGCTTTGAGTATGTATAGTGTTACAGATGCCAGTTTTATTCACTTCAGCTTCAGGAACAGCAACTGATCCCCAGAGCAGGTATAATTTGCTAGTTGCTCGAAAGAGTTAATTTCCTCTCCAAAACACTTAATTTAATCAGCCAGTGAGATGTTGTAGGTATATATAAATACTGAAGTAGATGCTAGTATACCACATGAGTACACAGATTTGCTCGTAAAATAGAATTTTAAAGATGGTCATTTTGAAAAAATATATGTTGAGACTAATTATGGAATGCTAGTCCAAGGTGTCCGTAAAATTATATTTTAGAAACTTCTTTTTTTTTTTTTTTTTACTGAAGCACAGGTAAAACTCCATTGCAAATATAATTCTACAGAGGCCTTACATTTAATGAAACTACTGCCTTGTCCAGAAGATAGGTTTTTCTAATAGAACTTTTATTTGACTGCATATATTAAATTTTACCAAGTGAATATTACTGTATGAATGCAGTTTTGCTTTCTGTCCAGGCACTTGTTACTCTCAGACTAACAATATTGTTCATGTTAAATTTTTATTGTAGACAGAGAATGGGGTGGACAGCTGACATAACAGAAATATGAACTACTTTATTTGTGCTTTCATCCTTCGACCCTTCCTCTTTAGCTAATATTTCTGCTCCACACCTTCACCACAAAACTTCCTGAAAATGATTTTTCCCTTACAATCTCTATTTCCTCACCTCCCTTCACTCTTTCTTTAGAGCACTCTTGTTTGACTTCCACCTTACACACACCAATGAAATTCAATTTAATCATGGGTAAACTCCCTGTGGAGAAATCCAGTGACTCATTCTCATATTGTTCTTGTCTCATACATCTTTTTGTTTTCTTCCTCTCTTCCAGTTCAAGGGCCATGTTTACAAGGAAGCCTTTTTCATGTATTCCTCCAGCTATGTTTCTGCACTTTGGAGCAATCTCATTTTGTAGTTACACATTCAAGCACAACTTTATTCATGTCTATATTCCCATTAGACTGTAAGCTCCAGAAGAGCAGGGAGTGTGCATTGTTGTTAGATGTTAGTTGCTGTTGAGTCGGTTTTTGATTTATCATCAGCAACTCTACTGTTATGTATATATTTAACACAATATAAAAAAAATAGGGAATGATATAGATTTCTCTACTCACAGAGAAATACATACATAGAAAAAAATGGAATCCCACCAGAAGAACCTGGGAAAATCAGAATAAATTAGAAGCAAAGATATCCAGAAAGGGCTTTTCATGTTGTTGGTAGGTGCTGTTGAGTCAGATCTGACTCATAGCATCCCTGTGTACCACAGAACAAAACATTGCTTGGTCCTGCACTATGTTGTTGCTGTTTTTCAGCCCATTGTCACAGCCATTGTGTCAATCCATCTCATTGAGGGTCTGCATCTTGTTCAGTGACTATCTGTTTTACCAAGCATAATGTCTTTCTCTGTGGGAGCTCTGGTGGAGTAGTGCATTTGACTGCTAACCAGAAGGTCAGTGGTTCAAACCCATGAGCCACTCCTTGGAAGGAAGATTGGGCAATCTACTTCCGTAGTGATACAGCCTTGGAAACTCAAGGAGGGGTCGCTATGGGTCGGAACTGATTCAACGGCAGTGAGTTTTTTTTTTTGCAATGTCCTTCTCTAGGGACTAGTCCCTCCTCTTAGCATCTCCAATGTTTCACCATCCTCACTTCTAAGAAGCATTTTGGCTGTGCTTCTTCCAAGACAGATTTGTTCATTTTTCTGGCAGTCCATAGCATATTCAATATTCTTTGCCAACATCATAATTCAAAGGCTTCAATTCTTTTGTCTTCGCTGTTCAGCTTTCATATGTGTTTGAGGTGATCAAAAGTACCGTGGTTTTGGGGTAGGCACACCTTATTTCTCAAAGTGACATTCTTGCTTTTTAACACTTTAAAAAGGTCTTTTGCAGCAGATTTGCCCAGTGCAATATGACATGTGGTTTCCTAATTGCTGCTTCCAGGTAGTTAGTTAGTTAGTTAGTCTTTCTCTAGTCCTAATGCCATGTTCTTCTTCATATAGGACATCTTCTTGGATTATCTGCTCAACATACAGATGAATAAGTATGGTGAAAGGATTAAACTCTGATGCACACATTTCCTTATTTTAAACTTTTTTTCCATTGGAATGGCTGCCTTTTTGTGTATGTACAGGTTTTTCATGAACACAATGAAGAGTTCTGGAATTGCTGTTCTTCACAATCTTATTCATAATTTGTTATGATCCATGCAGCTGAATGCCTTTGCATAGGCAATAAAAGACAGGTAAACATGTTTCTAATATTCTCTACTTATGGCTAAGATCCATATGACATCAGATGGATATGATATCCCTCTTTCCATGTTCTCTTCTGAATCTGGCTTGAATTTCTGGCAGTTCCCTGTTGATGTACTGCTGCAACCATTTTCGAATTACCTTTAGCAAAATTTTACTTGCATGTGATATTAATGATATATATATTTTTTTTTTATAATTTCTGCATTCTGCTGCATCACCTTTCCTTGAAATGGATCTCTTCTAGTTGGTTAAGTTGGTTAGCTAGATAGATGTCTTATAAATTTTTTTTTCAATTTTTCTATCATTATTTTAGTTTTTTAAATTGTGCTTTGGGTGGAAATTGACAAAGCAAATTTGTTTTACATCCAACAGTTAATGCACATTTGATTTCCCAGCCCTGATTACCATTCCCAACAATAAAACTCTCCTCCCCTCCCCTCCCTGTAACTACCATCTTCCTGTGCTCTTCTTAGCTATGCATTCCTGTCTGTCCAGCTTTCCCTCTGTGTGAATGCTGCCCCTCTCGTGACTCATGGCTGTTTGATCTAAGTGGTGCATCTCCCTAGAGTAGGTGGGTGCCTCGCCCCATGGTAGATGTTCTGTATGTAGGTTTTTCTACTGTTGGGCAGAGAGCCGATCCATGGAAGTGAGCCCATTTCTGGGCCTGAAGGGCTATAGTCTCAGGGGTTCCACCAGTGTAATGCCACCAATAATTCTAGTAACTTTTGAATATTTTCCACATTTTCCCTCCCACACTATTTAGGATTTCCAATTTTGATCCCTTTCTGAGAGGCTGGCATTGGTAGCTGGGCACCATTTAGTTCTTCTGGTCTCGGGGTCATGAAGGCTGAGGTCCTCATAGTCCATCTTATCCTCAGACTAATTGTTTTCAGATGCTTTTGATTTTCTTTGCTCCAGATGAGAGGAGACCAATAGTTGCATCTTAGATGGCCGCTCAGAAGCTTTTAAGACCCCGGTCACTACTCACCAAAGTAGGTTGCAGAACAAGATCTTTATGCACTATGTTGTGCTAATTGAGCATGATGACCTCTGAGAGTAAGATTCCAAGTCTGCAGGCCTGGTGATTCTCTCTCTCAAGGTATTTGGTTGTCTCTGAGAAGTTACTCCAACTCTGTCTTCTGTTGTTTTCATAATGTATGTGGCTCATTTTGTAGCAAAAGTGCATATGTAAGATTATCTTCAGCCAAATCCATCCTAGATCTAGGGTATATTCTTGTTTTCATACCCCCATCTGATCTTCTCACCTGTCTATACATTTATTCATAGCCTGGTGTTTGGTACTAGTGGTGATGCAATACCGTGCCTGTACTAGTATTTG